TAATACGTGGGTCTAAATAATTGTTCTTCATATATCCTTTCTTTAGTCGAATAATTACCACATCAACTAGTAATTAAAAATCAAAACAAACCAATATTTTATGCGTATGAAAGAAGAAAAAATAATAAAAAATCGCATTTTTTTACAAATCTAAATTTATTCTACTAATAAGCATAAGTAGAAATATGAAAGTAAAAAACTGTCTTTTACATTATTAAATGAATTTTTTTCACTATACCTTTCATTTTTGTATCCAAAGTTATCTAAATACTACTGAAAACAGAAGAAATCTGAAATGAGGTTCTTTAAGGTATCATTATTAGTGACCAAATATGGCTTCTTTGTAAGTTTGAGTTCTTATTTTCTAACTTAAAGTTTCAGTCTTAATGCTGACAAAATACTAGCACAAAAGATTGTTGGAGGGAAGCTAGTATCGTACTGCTCGCGATTACTTTTAAATCCGACCGTCTGCAATCTTCTAAATGGAAAGTGTTGACTGATATATATATTTTCTTTTCTCTTCGTAATTGTTCCCTTAGTGTTCTCCTTTCTTTTGAGATTTTTATTACAGTTCTAAGCAAGTCGCCATTTTTTTCTTTTGCCTACTATCCCTGACTTTAGTTTGGCTATTTTTCCAATCCTACTTCCATAAATTCTTTCCTAAAGTGTTTTTTTCTTTTGAAGGTTCTTCGTGAGTGAAAAAGTGCTACTGAATGTTTGTGGTGAAGATATTATCACAAAGTGGACAAACAAAGACACGGTGTTCAAACAAAAATCGCTTACGACTAATGATAAAAATAGTTTCTTTTATTCGAAGTATTTTATTCTGAAAGGAATAAAGAATAAAACTTCTACTTATTTATTATAAGGTACTTTCAACTACTTTCCGCATGTCTTCCTGATAGAATTAAAATCATATTCGACGCGTATTCGAGAGATCCAGGGCTCAAATCCCCGTGGGGACAATGCACATTTTTCATGTCTCCTATTTCAAAATAACCTAATGACTACAACTGGTGCCCAATCATCATCAGGATTGGTCAATTGTGCCCCTTATCCCCAGTTCCCCCTAAGGAGGAGTATATAAAGTATTTTCTCTCTCTTTCCGCATGCATTTGTGGTGCAATTTGAAGCGTACTCAATGCGCATTCGAGAGATCTAGGGATAGCGATCCGGCGAGAACATTGCGCATTTTTCACGTTTTCTGCTTCACCCCCCCAAAAAAACCTAATGACTCTGCAGTATAACAAATGTAACTTCTAATCTTTAATTAATATATATGCTCATGTATATTGCGTCAGTTTGTATTTGTGGTGCCGAATGAAATAATATGTCTTCCAATTATCAGTTAAAATCTAGAAACGGAAAAAAAAATTTCATCATGTACTCTGCTGCCAAATACATATGTCTTCCACCCTTTAGCGCGATACAAATACAAGCGTTACGTTGTAAACCTGTAAAGCAAAGGCAAAGCACTGAAAGGAAAGTTTCGTTAACAAAACTTTTGTCAATGAAATCAATTTTCAAAATAGTTTTTAGTATCTTCTATGTTAGCAAAGTGTCTGCGATTGCAGATTTCCTCTCTCATTGATAAATTTTTACCGTTTCATTTGATGTAGATTTCCTGAACTATTTTTGTGAGAAAGAGATGTAGCGTTTGATGTAGCGTAGATGAAACATTTGATGTAGAGTATATGTCCCTTATTAAAATAAATATTGCAGAGTTTTAAGGTATTTCGCCTGCCTTTGTGGTGTGATGGTCTGCACGCTGGGCGCGTATTCGAGAGGTCCGTGGTTCGATTCCCAGTGAAGGCGTTGCTAAGTTGCTAAGTTTTCATCTCTCCGGCCTCAAAATTACCTAATGTCTCTACAGAGTTTTCAACAATATTTATCAAACTAATTTCTAGAATTATTATACGAACTTTGTGATTCTTTATAGCATGGATATTGTTGCATGTCACATTATTGCACTTGGTCATTCATGGGATTTCTGGCTAATCATAGATTTCTGAGGTAGTTTCAAAGAGTAAGTATTAATTGGCAATTTATTACAATCATTTATTCCTTTTACATGGTACTAATCTCATTCTGCCGTGATATGAACGTATAGTAAAAACTTTATTAGAGCCAATTTTATTTACACAAAATCGCTTTCAGGTTGAATAATATCGTCTTCTTAAACACGAACTAAGTAAAAAGTAAGTGTCATGTACAGAAAGAAAGGGAAATAAATGTTAAAGAACTTATTACTGGTTAGCAATGAATGTCTCTACTGCGAACTGAAATCATGCTGCAAAAATAACACAAGAAAAGCTAAATCGAAAGATGACAAAATGTGAAAAAATAAGGGAACGTTCATTTATAAATCAGTGGAAAATACGGGTTTGTATTTATCTCTAATGTTGAAACAGTATTAGGAGTATCGAAAGCATCAAGACAACTAGCTCTCAAACTATTTGTCATGATTTTGGCCGAAGCAATGGATTTGTAGGTTTCAAATTATCAATGTTTTGCAAAAGATGATTTATTAAATTCTTTTTTATAAGGCTATTATTCCTAGATGTGCAATTATAAGGCGCATTGCGTTTCACCTATTTATACCAAGTCGCAATGTTAAGGAGCGCCATGAATTTACTGCGAATTCCTGTTCTACACGGAATCGGTAAATGACATGGACATGACAATATACAGGATCATTAGCCATTGCCTGACGATTGAGAATGTGGGTATTACTGAGATACCTTTATTATCTAGATAATAACAATCCACAAGGCTCATAAGGGGTTGTACAAGAAAATCGCAAAAATACAGTCATAACGATCGATAACCAGAATTAAGTTCAATAAACACAAAAATGTGGAAAGAAACATTGTTCAAGTATCTCAAGTGATGAAAGCGATATCATACCATATATGTTTAAATATATGTCTACTGCCTGATAGTGACCGGGTACCATATGATATTCACTAGACGAGCGTTTATTGAAAAGAATTAATTACAAATTTTTACATTCGTGCTTTTACAGTGGATTTCTATTACACTTAAAAACTATGAAGGAACCCTCTTTTGTAATGCTTACTTCTGTTATGCCGAAAATGGAAAATAAGACAGGATAGCAAAGTTTAAAATAAAATAAATGGTAGTAAAAAATTAAAATCCTTATAAATTAAGAAGCCATTTTTCATATTCGACCTACATATAAAATAATTAAAAGCATTAATTTCAGGAATAAAAATTTCATAACTATCAACACTCATTTAATCCTTCAATTAATTTTATGATTTAAATTGATCTTAAAATTTTATAAGATTTAATTTTTGTATTTCGTAAGCATAACTATACAGGATATCGCATAAAATTCTGCATAAATTCCGAATATAAAAAACAGTAAGCTAGAGAAAAAGGCAAAATGTTTCACTCAAAAACTATTCAATATTTACGAATAGAAAGTTCTTTTTTCCTATTCTATATTCCGTACACATCAGGAACTAAAAATTTATTTTGATCATAGTTTAGAAGCTTTGCAGATTTCTATGGAACGCCATTCTACATAACTGTATTTTTTTTTATTATTTTGCAAAGCAACATCTTTATTTAATTCTGATTATTTGAAGTTTACAAAATTTCGTTAAAATTTTATCGAAAAGCCTTTCTGTAGTGCATAGTGGAAATCTTTCTTTAAATGGGAACAACTTTTATGAAATGTAATATGCTACAGACCGTCGGTTTCTTGTCCACCCTTTGAAAAAATAATTTTGTCATAAATTACTGTCAGTGTACTTATACATTTAAAACACAACTAATTAAAATGTGTTTAATTTTATATTGGTACTAAATAATTAAATTAATAAAAGAAAATGTGTGCTGTTTTTATAATTGAAGGATATTATAGTTTGTATAAACTTTACCTTATTAACTAAAAAACTAGGAAAATATTAGTATTCACATTAACAAGATGGATTAACTTACCGATTCTTGAACAACCTCTCTGTATTTGGATGTTCGCTGATAAGAATCAGCGTCAATCAATGTAAAAGCACCAATGTAAAAATTTGTTTTTAAGACTAGAATGAGAAATCCACCGATAAGGTAATCATTAATAAATGTCACAAAATGTCAGTCTTGGTGGTAAACGTGATGGACAGTTTCCATGTTTAATTTCCAAATTCTGAGATTTTTCAGTTATAGTGTAGCATCCGCAATTAATCTGAACTTCATTTTTTGGCCTCTTTTGGACATTTGCGTGGATCAAAAGAGCAGATTTTGAAGACACTTATAGTCCCAATAAGAGATTAAGACTAATTATAAAGCAACAAAAAAACTAAACTATAAGCTTAAAATGTATCAAAATGTGAACACAAATGAAGGAAATTCAATTCTCGCGTTTAAATAAATAATTCACTAAATTTCCGAGTAAAAAGTGCATAATCATTCAACCGTTACGTATCATATTTTCGAATATTTGTAGCAATCTACAAATCTCTGTAATATTTGAGATTTAGAACCAATAATATGTTTCAAGAAATCTTGTAAAGGAGAAATCCCAAGGAGGCGAAGAAATATATAGTCTACGAGAAAAAAGGAAAACCTGAAATAAGCAACTATAAATAAAACTGTTGACGAAGAGAAGACAAGGCTGATAGACCTAAAATGAAGGAACACGATACCGTGAAACCAAAAGAGCATATTTATAGAAATCATCGCCAGCTCAACAGTGAATGTTGTACCTATTCTTTGTTATCCAAAAAAAAACAATCGTTTCAGTTTTGCAACGCAACGTAAAATACGAAACACTTTCTGGATTCGTTTTTGGAATGTTTATTCCAATTCACAGAATGCTGTCGCAGCACTTTCTTTGATAGTAAATAGACTCGGATATTTATCAGATCCAATTCCGATGATCAAAAACAGATAATGCCTATATCAGGTTTGTTTACCCAGCTGAAATTCACAGAAAATGCAGTTCTCTTTGGATTTAGGCAGTTCAGTATGCCGCAGATCTTACAATAAATGTTGCTTAAAACTACATGTAGGAAATACGATATCGGAATTATATGCTTAACATCAAAATAAATTAAACTATATTCAAGGAAATTTTTAGGATAAAATTGTTGAGTATGAGAAGAAATTGGAGCTATAAGCTTACTTAGAAAATGATGGTACCTACAGATTAATATATTTTATAACCTGCTAAGAAATATTTGCATCAGTTGAAAACATAGAATATCAGTGACACTGAAACCACGCAATTTATCAATGGTCAAAATTTTAATTTTACAGGAAAATATAAGCAACTAAATTATTGCTGAAATTATTAGAATTAATAAAAAGGTTTTTATAATGCATGCATATTTAGTGTTATTTTGTTTATATAGTAATATAATCGTATGTTTTTGTTTACTACATGCCCCTAGATTTTGCTTGAATAATGCATAACAATGTTTTCTGAAGTTTTCTAAGTACATGAGCGCACAAATCTTTCTGCTAAATTGAAATTTAATTTTCTACTAGGAAAATCATCAGCTTGTAGCATAATATCAGTGGTATCTTATAACAATGATTTATAAGATCGTTATAATGAGGCAACAGTGCAATAAATAAAGCAAATGCATTTTAGTTAGATTCAACTACGCAGACGATAATCGCTGGTTGCTAAGTTTGAATTCTTCAATATGTAATTTTACTAAAACTAAATTAAACTAGTTAATTTAATGTTAAAGAGTTTTTTCTGCAATTTAATGGCATTAATTTTTAAATTTTGTGTAAGACTGTTCATCATCATTTGCGACTGTTGAATATACAAAAAATACTATTCTTATATAGCGAGGGCAAAAGATAATTAGGATTGTTTAACACGTTAGATCATAATTCTATTATAGTATACAAAGACACTTTTTCATTGTCTTAAATGAGCTGATATTTAATTTCAATACCAATGTTTTATGCATTTTAAGAGTGCTTTTTTCTTCTGTTACAGCGCGTGGTATTCACATTTGTTAACTTCAGCAAAGTCCTTTTGTTATTCCATGAAGGCTTCACTCCAGTTGTCAAGTCCACAAGTAGGCCTCAATGGTAAGTTTGCATGAAAACTTATTATGTTGTCAATAAAATATTTCGCAATACCTATGAATTACCATTTCAACATCTATTATTGTAGGGTATGTATAAGTGGAATTCAAGTAAAAGAACATAATGATATATAATTTAGTAGTTGTATATCACTCTGTATTATTAATATTATTAATATTTAGCAATTGTATATCCTGATATTGTGTTAAACATATGTAAGAAACATTACTGGTTGCTTGGAAAGGCTGACGCTAGTGTCCTAGGTTCAAAAACGTAAATGCTGGAAAGGTAGGTATAGTGTTTATAGGAGAGCAGGAAAAGTAATAAAATGCAGTATTTTAAATTATGGAATTAACAGAAGAAACCTAAAATCCTTTGTGAGTGAAAAATCGTATAATGCATATTTACGTTTCATACTCAAAAGCAGGAAATCGGGATATTGAGCAAAGATGTTTTTTCACTTCGGTAATAAAGCTCTTTTCCCACCAAACTGAAAGATAACATTCTGAAGCAAGTTTCAATGTAAACAGTGGAACAATCTTTCCTCAAACCTCACTTGTTGCGTTACAATTTCCTTGCATCCCACTTGTCCATGGAAGAAACATAAGAAACTTATAATTCACCATTTGTTGATATCTCCTGTTTGAATATCAAATATGATTCAACGTACAACGCAAGGGTTTTATAGCCAAAGAATCTAAAAGTTGCCTGCTTAATATATTATGTGCCGGGTATAACTAACGAATAATTTCCACATCATAAAGAACTTGTACAATTTTGTACTTTTTCATACGGATTTTTTCATACGGATAATGTACTTTTTCATACGGATTCCTTCCTTACTTTACCATAAAGTAGTGCAAATAATGTCAATGCAATAAAATACTTTTTTCAGATATTCTACATTAAATTGTTTCTACATTTTGCTATATAAGCATATTTTTTTTAATTATTCACCTAATTTTTAAATCATAAGCTTACCAAGCTACCATGACCAAACTTTTCCAGTCTTTTAGATTTCGACATTGACACTGTAACAATTGGCAGTGCTTCATGATTCATCAAACAGTCTAAAGATAACTACTTTTGCATACTTTATTTTTATACAAGTTTTCTTACATCTTTTATTACTTTTTTATTTAGGATACAATTGATACGTTTTTTATCTATCACAAAGAGGTTAGAACTTACTCCGCAATTTTATTACTCCAATTACTACTACATTTTTTTTTCTTTCGTATTAACACGATGTGAATGGACGATGTGAATGGATGAAACCCGAGTAACAAATAATTTCTGATTTCATGTTTCCTGTTTCCTCTTTTACAGTCAGCCTTCTTATCTACTTTGAAATATTTTATATCAATGTGATACAAAAATTAGGAAAGGATACAGTCATAACTGTCAATTAAAATTTATTTATATAATATTGATTTAAATAATAAAAATATTATTTTGAAACATTTCATTGCTTCCATGACAAATGAATTAAAAGATATTTTTATTGTAAAATGCTGTTGCGCACTGAACGTTACTGGATGCCGCGCTAGGAGCAAGAGACCCTAAACTTCTATCAGAAAGGTATAAAAACATTCTTATTTGTGTTTCATACTTACTTCTGTAAGCCCCATGTGATACTATGTGGTACATGGGGACTTATTGTGTTTCTTTAATTAAAAAAAATTGACTTAAAATTTATTTTTTTTTGAAGTTTTATTTATACATATAGCCAATAATATGTTTTAGAATGCTCAATTATAGGTAACGTTTTTAACGAAATTCGCAGTACGAAACATACGTTAACCAGGGAAAAAAGCCATTTTTATCATTTCATATTTAAATAATAATATAAATTAAATTTTGACAAAGTATATGCTTAGCCCAAAATAGTAATTCATACAGAAAAGAGAAATTGTCTTTATCATTTGTATCACTTCTGTCACAGCATTCTTGACTATGTCTTCTAAAGACAGAGGTACCAATAAATGTAAAGCTTCTTTCGGAAAATTTTCAAATTCACTATTGCTGCTTAGAGCATCAGAAGTCAGTAAAATCAAGTTAAATATAGCTCCATATCTTTGTTCTTGATCACACTTTTTTAACCACATTCACAATTTATTTTTTTCTCAATTTCTAAGCTTACTTACTATTTTAACTCTCGGATCGGCGACGGAACAGAGGGCTTTCATTCATACCCGTGCGTACAAAACTGGCGTACTGAGGAAGATTTAGGGTATCAGATTTATTTTTTTACAAAATATCTTGTAATACTATGAGCTTATTCTCAAAATATATTATAAACGGTGCTGCTCTTCAAACGTTACAAACGCTATTACTTAGTGCATGTTACAAATGCAGTAACTGCATGTATACTGGCTTCAGATCCATGGAATGCGTGTTCGTAAAAATGGTTTAAAGACTTTAAAAACTTTTGAATCGTCACTTTACAATAAATTATAGTTATCCAATCCTTTTTTATAATGAATTACGCTATAGAACTCGCGACGATAGGAGGAAACTTTTCACGGGAAGATAATTTATTTCACCGTTTGTTTAAAGAAGGTTTTTAACCAAAACAGTCCTTCTAGAAATGATGTCCAGGTTACGTACGCGGATCATTTCGCGACGCAGGCGAAGATGTTTCACTTGCAGCCGAATAGTTTCCAGTTCTGGTAATGGTTAATGGTTTTAGTCAAAACGCATTCCTGCACAGTTACCAAACGTTTCACAGTATAATCCAAAACAGCTTCTAATTGGATCTCTTTCGAGGTCGAAAACATTTTTATCTTATTCTTAGAGTACACTTTATTTTCTCTGTTTACAGTAATTTATGTAATATATGTCTCTAAGAATATTTGATCTTTGGATGGTACTAAAATATAAATGTATAATTAATAAATCAATGCAGCAGTTAGTTAAGAAGAATGATATGCAGCTATTATTTAAGCAAACTCTATTTACTTTACTTTACTATCTCCAGCAATTGGTTTTAAGAAAAAAAAGACTTGTGGTACAAACAGATATTTCATAAAATTTCGTAACTGTATATTCGCCTTCGTATAAATACCTTATTCGTAAAAATGAGAGAAACTGAGCTAATATTAATTATTTATAACATTAATCAAATGTTTTCAGACGAGTAAATTAAAATGCTTTAAATTTAAACAAGATATAATCCACTCTGACGACATGCTCTTGATGATTTATTGAAAAATTAAAAGAAAAAATTATTTAACTTAATTTTAATAACATTCATGAATAATATTACAAAAAACTTTAATTGTCTCGCATTTTTTAATAATTACCATAAATCTGTTTATTGTTTTACAAACTTTTTGATTTATCTCATGAATTTGTATTAATAATCATCCATAATTAGAGACGTAGGTCTGTTAAAAATTTTCTTGGGAAAGGACCAAAGAATTTTCAACTATTAATTTTATTGTTACTTTTTTTTTTATTTTATTCTTCGTATTAGCTAGTTTACCACTCTTTTTGATTTAATTACTACGGAACTTTAATAATTAATAATTCGAAATTCGGAAATCAAAATTTGTTTTAAAGAATAGCTTACGCAGCGACTGCACAAAGCAGTCATCAGCTTTCATTAGCTGGAAACAAAAGTTCATTCCAAAGAGTGATCTTAAACCATAGCATTAATCTAACAGGAATCTGTAATTATTTTCTGCTTGCAAGGAATTTACTCTAGTCATGCATTTAGGCATTTAGAGTTTCCAATCCACTGATAAAAGAGATGATAAGACTACATTCTTTAGCGTTAAGCTTCCAAAAGGGATATCATTTGCAAGAGTCCATGCAAATAAATGAAAGTGATGTGTATAAGCTGCTGTAGAAAACAGTCCACATTAAGCAGATGATGACTGCTCCACAAATTAGACCGTCTGCCTAAAAGGCCCATCAATCCTCACTTATGATTGCAGTTTTCGATTCAACCTTTTAGTCTTGACGAGAGAATAATTCTCCTCCGTGTTCTCCATTTCCTCTCGTTTTCGAGACATCCTCCCCTATTTCCTCTGCCTTGTATCTTCTATGTATCCTTCCCCTTGATTTGATTTTAAATCGCCTTATTCACAAATGTATTGAGATGGTATGGTCTTAACTTTGTTGGCGCATCCTCTTTTGCGTTTGAAGCAGATATTATTGTAAGGCTTCTGAGTGATTTTATTGCCTTCCTATTTCCACCTCCTGTGCTTCCCTTCAATCCACTTCTGAAAGTGTCTGGAAGGAAATTTAAATAAAAAGGCAACTCCTTTTCGTACACTTACAGCTATAAAGAGTGTAAAATCAAACGTGAAAACGTTCCATGTATAAAACTTGAATGCAATAAATTAAAGGTTATGAGACGTAAATACACACAATGAATCTACATAAATATAACTCTTCAAATTAATACATTTTATATATTTTATGTAAACAAAGCTATTACCTTTAAGGCGTTTTCTCATAACATTTTGCAGACGCTCATTTATTGTGAATGTTTGATCTCCATATCCGAGCCAGTTTCCCTTAGAACATCCTCCACCAAAGCATCTGTTCAATTAGGAAGATAGCTGTCTAGTACTTTGCCATAATCAAATAAATCAAGACACATATATTGCAGAAACCTCGCCTTATTCTAACCAATTATTTTTTATTTCAGAAGCTTTCCTTTCCTTTCTGATTTCATATTCCTGCCAGAATGTAAATTTTAATGACGTAGTATGCAAATCTATATGAATTCGGAATCAGTATTTAAGCAGCTGTTTTAAAAGTTTGTAGTAAGAGAGTTAGTTCCCAATTTATGCCCCGTATTTACTTTTTTCTTTTTTATTTCCTTTAAGGTTTAAATAACCTTTTATTTGAATGTAACAGAAAACGCACACGCTCGGTTCTTACAATCTACTACCATTTATGACTAAGTAACTTCACAGAAAAATAAGATGTAAAATCACAATAAAGTAAGATTGGCTACAAGACTGGCTCCTTATTTATCTAAACCGCTG